CACCATAATGTCCCACAAAAAGTCATGGATTGAGTGACAATCTACGACTGTTTATGGGACATTGCTGTGGGACATTGCTGTGCTCAATTGGCTGCCACATTCGCCCACAAATATAGTCAATTCACTTTACAGTGTGTTCTGTGAAGCGCTTTGGGACGTCCTCCCGACATGAAAAGCGCTATATTAAATGCAAGGATTATTATTATTATTATCACAAAATTATTTATTCATTAATTTATTTTTTGACGGGTTTAATATCCTCGGAAAAGCGATTCGCCATTCGACTAACAACCGGATACCTACTTAATGCTAGGTAAACAGAAGCGTGTGGAGTAAGGAAACGTGCCTAACGTTTAGCCGTGCCTGGGAATCAAACCCACGTCCTCTCGCTCGCGAGGCGATGCTCTAATCACTGAGCTACAGGACTCCACAAGATCCCAAGGAACTGTTCAAAAAGTGAAGCAAGTGTGCACAGCAATGTGAGCCGAAGGAGTGAGTGAGCAACTTTATTTGGAGGATTGGTAGCCAAGACACCGTGAAAAATTCTCTTCTCTTTTCGAATAGTGCCCTGGATCTTTAACATCCACCTAAACAGGCAGACAGGACTCGGTTTAACGTAATTTAACAATGGCACCTCTGACAATGCAACACACCCCCAGCACTGCATTGAAGTGTCATTTTAGTCACACCTGACATATTCAAGACTGAGATAGATGTATTTCTTATTGCAAAAGGATTAAGGGATATGGGGATAAGGCAGGGTCAGGTTATTAGCTGGAGTTAGATTAGAAAATCAGCCACGTTTGAATGGCGGGGCAGGCTCGAAGGGCCGAATGGCCTACTCCTGCTCCTACATGTTATGTTAGACTATATGATTCCATATCCCAACATGCGACTTGAACCCACAATCTTCTGACACAGAGGACAGAGTGCCACCACTGTACCAGGCTGACGCATGAAAAAAACGACAGGAGGCGCTTTTCTGTGTCCACATCACCACTGTATTAAATGAGGACATATCCAGAGCCAAGCTGTAGTTTTACCATCTCTACACCATGAACCATTATTAGAGTGCACTGAAAAGGATTGGTGGACCCCTAGTGAAAAAAGAATTGAAAATTTTCAGGACGTTATTTTTCCTGTGAAGATGGAATCACGGCTGAAAACAGTTCACAGCAGATGAGTGGCCATAGAGTGGGTTAAAGGTGACCATTCCCAAAACACAGAAGAGAACTGAGTTAACTAAAAGTAGAAATATTTATCAGTAAAAATTAGTTTAAAAACTTGAATGGTCCTTAATATCTTGTCCGATTGTGTGACTGTACTTTTAACAAAACCCGACTATAAAAGTAATTATTCAAGCCAATACCATATCTCAAAGTCAGCAATTATATAGCTCACAACACGTATAAAATATGCTATTGTATGCCAAACTTTTATGAAAGCTCCCTCCCAGAAATCTAAAACTTAATCTATCTGAAAAAAATTGCTCTAAGCGCTCAACTCAAATACCAGATATTAATTTTCCTTTGCACCTGCTGCATTACACACTTAATCGCCCAGATGTTGTCAAACCCAGATTTGTACTGAGCCACATGTGTAGCTCATGAACAACATGTGTGACCCACACCAGTCGAAAAATTAAACAAGTCACAGAATTTCCTACGCAAGATTTATTTATAAGCATGACGTAGTCTTTCTCAGTGAAGACAACACCAAGGATACCACATAGACAGCAGCAAAACTCAAACATAGGAAAATATTAGCAGTATAAATCAAAGCAAGACATTAGTGTGAGATTTGACAGTTGTATTTCTCAACCAATTTCTGAAAATTAGATCAAAATGATTGTGCAACCAGACAGTGCCGTTCTTCCGCTAAATGTTTGTTTGGCAAGAGAGATCAGCATTTTCCTTTGATGAATATGCAGAAAAGATCAATTCACGGAGAATTTTATAAATATGAATACAAAGATATGTTTTCAAATATGAATTTTCAAAAAGCTTGACTAGAGACATTTTTATCACATACATTTAATGTGTTTAAATAGCCATCCCTGTGTCTTTGTAAGAAAATTGTCAATGCGAATTACGACCCATGTTTTCTACTGAAGCTGAGGTGGCTGTGAGCCACACTGAGACTTTGTGGTTTGATAACACTGTCCCAGATCATGGCAGGTTGTGGGATATTGTCCTGCCACATTGACCTACAAATATATTTGACAGCAACTTCCTGGAAACACTTCAAAATGTTAACATTATAAACAACCCCTTGTATTTATATATGGGTGGGGTAGATGAGGTAGGTTTTAAGGTGGGATTTGAAGATAGATAAAGGAGGTATGAGGCAAGGAGTTTCTAGAGGCTGTGGGGGTGTAATGGCAGAAGCTTGCCCACCGATTGCGAGGCTGAATAGGCAAGGGAAGTACAGCAAGCCTGTGTTAGCCGAGCGGAGAGCACAGACAGAAGATTGGGGTACAGGGAGATGGAGAGATGCGATACCAACTGCAAGGATTATTATTACTTTCCATTGTCAGCAGCCTCCACTTCGCTGTCACACTGACTGATGGACGGTTCGTCACTAACACAAACGATTAAAGTAACATGAATGCATATCACAACCTAACAGATGGTCTGAGATTCATTACAGATTTACTACTTCATCAGAGAGGGGCTGAAATTCAACACAAAAACAAATGAGCAACCCCAATTCATTTGAATCCGTAGGAATCTTGTCAATGTGAAGAAAAGAACATTATCATCAAGCTGGTCAGTGTTAAACTAAATCCTACATTGCTCCCACTATCAATCCCCTCAAATTGATTTCTTCACCAAATAGCTATTTAATCCCTTCATGAATTTGCTGAGACATTTTCCCTCCCTTCCCCCATAGCTAGAATAATTTACATATTCATTGCTCTGTTCACTTTCTCTCTTCGAGGTTGGAGTCCGTTCCCACTTGCAGTGTGTGCTACGATATGAAACACATTATTAGGGTTCAGTGCCAGAGGCATCTCTTCTCCAATGTGATGAATCTAAATTTCCCCAGCCTCTAATTCAAGTGGGGTAAGCCCAGTGCTCTGTACATATTCAGTTCTGTGATTTATTCTCTAATCCTTTTGTTATTCACTCCAATATGTAGTTTGCTCTCTTAGTTGCTCATGCACACTGTGTTGATGGTTCCAGTGATTCAGAAAAGGAGCTCTTCAAGTAATAAGGTACTTCACTGCAATCGTTGAATAGGTAAAACCATTAAACTACACTCATTTCATAATAAGAACTTAACTCCGACTGTCCATTTACAAGTGCTAGAATACAGAATTGGCACCCAATTTTGCTCACACCTTGCCTCCCATTCCCTTCTCATGCCCTTACAGTCTGATTCCTCTCCTCTGACAGCACTGAGACAGCGTTCGTCAAGGTTACAAATGATGTCCTCTGTCTCTATCACCGGCTTCCTTTGTCTCTTTGTCCTCCTGGATTTCTCTGCTGCTTTTGACACAGTGGACTATGCCATCCTCCTCTCCTCCCTCATCCATCTCAAAATATTTCATCCACAAAATATAGTCAATTGACTTTACAGTTTATTTTGTGAAGCGGTTTGAGGCGTCTCAACGACATGATAAGGTCCTATATCAAATACAAGGATTATTGTTATTATCTCAGTGGAACCAAACTCTCCTGGTTCAAGTTCTACTTGAGCACCGCCACCATTTTGTCTCCTGTAATGGTTTTTCCTTCCTGTGGTTTACCCCCAAAGCTCTATTCTCAGAAGATCCTTTTTTCTCATTTACAGGCTCCCTCTTGGCGATATCAACCTCAGACATGAAGTCACTTTTCCACATATTTGCGGATGACAAATTAATTTATCCTCCTCTAGTCACGACCCCAGTCCTACCAACGTTCTGACTGCCTACTTGTCAGACATCAAGGTCTGGATAAGTGCCAACTTTCTGCAGCTGAGCCTTAGCTCCTGTCAACGTCTTCTCATCAGCGGTTCTGAACCCCTTAACTTCCCTGCCTATCCCTCAAGACTAATTGAACCCATACACAATTTTGGTGTTAGGTTCAATCCCGTTATTCTTCCTATTCCACATCCCATACCTGAGCAGGACTACCTTCCTCTACCTCCACCACATCACCCGCCTTCGCCCCATCTTAGTTCAAATGCTGCTGAAACCCTCATTCATACGTTTGACACCTCCTGCATTGATCCAGTGCACTCTTCGCCGGTTTCCCCTGCTTCATTATTAACTAGACCCAAATGATTCAAAACTTTTCTGCCCGTATCCTTTACCCTTACCAGGCTCTGCACTCCAATTATCCCAGTCCTTGGCAGCTCCACTGGCTTCCTGTTGCAGAACAGATCAATTTCAAGATCCTCACTCTCATTTTCAAATCACTTCAAGCCCTGGCATCTCCCTACCTCTCCAACCAGCTCACATCCCACTTCTCTACCTGTCGCCTTCACTCAGCTGGCTTAGATCTTCGGGATGTCCCCGACCCCTTCGGCTCCAATTCGCTATCCAAATGAAGGGCACTGAATAACTGCAAGTTGTTGTGGTTACAGCACTCCATTGAAAAATTACAATCTCATATTCCCTTCCGAGCATCTTCTCAACTGTGAAATTAACAATTCACAATGGTTTACCCCAGAGAGTAGTGGTCAGCACGTTGGCCTTTACAAGTGAAAGATCCAGAAATGGGAATACTAATCTGAGGGTTGCTGTGCCCCATGCTAGGAAACTAGTTAAAACCTAGTTACCAAATGTTAATATTTTCCCCCCCAAAATACAGTCAATCCACTTTACAATATATTCTGTGCAGCACTTTGAGACATCTCACGACATAATAAGGCGAAGTGAAATACAAGGATTATTACATAAATTATTATTAAATATTCCTGATCTGACTGCTTTTTTTAAAAAAGAGACAGGTTTTTTTAGATCATAGTACCTAAGGAAATGAACTGGAGAGGGTGTAGTAGGAGAAGTAACTCACATTACTTTTGTTTTTGTCCCTTCAGGAGTGCTGGCCGAACGTAACTCTGAGTTGCTGGGTCCGCAATATTCCACAGGCGGATACTATCCTGTCTGAATCCGTCCTAGCAACTTCAAAACATCCAGTCAAATTCCTGAGCGGATAGCTGACTTTCACTTTCTACACATCTCTCTCTCTCTCTCTCTCCCACACACTAACATCCAGCCTTTATTTAAAGGGCAAGCCTCATCATCAAGAAACAGAAGTATGATTAACATTATTTTATGTTGTCTGATTTTTATGAATATTAAGCAAGCAGTAGTCAGACGTACTGCCTTAAATGAGGTTCTGGGCCGGACTGTGGAAGGTAACAAATGCAAACCTACGGTGCTTTCAGAATGGTTTTAAAAGATTATCTGTAAGTGACGAAGTTTTAATCACATTTCTTTATGACAAGTCTTTTTATTAAAGATTCTAATGAGACACCCAATCTCTGTCTATGATGGAGCATTTTTTTTAAACTGGAAGTTCTAGGTGTGCTCAGTGTCTGCAGTAAAAAAATAAGATTCGCGTTTACAAGTGGAAAGAGGGGAACATGTAATAAATTAAGCAATAATATGAGTAGCCTCTGTATTCAGAGATATTAGCAAAGGTAATAATGCCTCACTACGGGTACGGTCTGCTGTTCTTTATCCTGGTCATTTTAAAACCACAAGACAGGGTAGGTTTTTTTCAACACAATATTTTTTAAAAAATAGAATCACTTTAATAAAGAAACTTCATAAATTATTTTGCTGATTGCTTCTAAATCTATTGCAAAACTTCTGATCATACTTCCACAGCACTGACACTTTCACTTTGACACTGACACTTTGAGGCTTCCTTTCAACGTGAAGAAAGTTTATTTTTTTATTTTTTAATAATAATAATGTGTTATTATTTGATTTTTTTAAATTGCTTGATAGTGATTTCCTTTGAAGGTCATGTAATCTCTACCAACTACTACAGAAACGTTTCAGAGGTGTGCAAAGTTGAAGAGGGGTGCGGGGGAGGAAGCAAAGCCAGGCTTGTTAGTCACCTCCACAGAGACAGACAGACATAACAGACATTTCTCTCAATAACCCAGGCAGAGCGAAACCTTGGGCAAGTTTCCTTCCTCCACACACTTAATAATAATCCCTCCAAAACCCAAAACAATAATAAATTGGTCATTTTCAATCCACGACTGTTTGTGGGACACTACTGTGCGCAATTGGCTGCCGCGTTCGCCCACAAACATACAGTCAATTCACTTTACAGTGTGTTCTGTGAAGCGCTTTGGGACGTCCTCCCGACGTGAAAAGCGCTATATCGAATGCAAGGATTATTATTATTATTGTAACATCGGTTTCATTACACAAAAGCCCAGGTAAAGAGAGTGCCAAATTGGAAAGAAAAAAAAAGGACAATCTGGTTACACAGCTGAGCCAAAGCACTTTCCCCCACTCACACACACACACACACAGTGAGTGAGTGAGAGTGAGTGAGTGTGAGTTCTCCTGTAGGGCACTGCATTAGCTGCTGAACTCCACTGTAAAGTTTTGCAAAACTTTGTGGCCCAGCCTTGGAGCTTTTGAGGAGAGTTGTATTTTAATGACAGTACTTTCTTGCACACAGTTCTCTGGCTGATGGGGGGGGGTGGGGGTGGGGGGGTGGGGGTGGGGGGGGGGGATGGAAACCTACCTGAACACACAGCTGGTGAGTGTGGGTGTCCCTCTGGGGCTGTGAAGTCTGTCTCACTTATTGCAACGACTGGAAACCCTCCAAACACAACAGCAGCAGGAAATCTGACTGTGTGTGTGTGGACACTGAGTGTCACTCACTGCACCTCCCACTCCCACTCCCAGGGCTCCTGGGGGCGTTGGTTTGGTATTTACTCTCTCTCTCTCTCTCTCTTTCTCTCACTTTTTCTTTCTCTCTCCCCGGAATTTCTCCCGTTTTGACCAGGTTCAGCCTCCGCTGCACTGAGCGAGTGAGCGAGTGAGAGAGAGGCAGGAAACGCAGTCAGGGACTGGGAGGAGCAGCTCCTGGGGGCGCCCCGCCTTCACAGCACAGCCCAGCACAGACCAGCACAGCCCAGACCAGCACCAACACCAGCACAGCCCAGCACAGCACAGCACAGCCCAGCACAGCCCAGCACAGCCCAGCACAGACCAGCACAGCCCAACACAGCACAGACCAGCACAGCCCAGCACAGCACCAACACAGCACAGACCAGCACAGCACAGCACAGCCCAGCACAGCACAACACAGACCAGCACAGCCCAGCACAGCCCAGACCAGCCCAGCCCAGCACCAACACCAGCACAGCACAGACCAGCACAGCACAGCACAGCCCAGCACAGCACAACACAGACCAGCACAGCCCAGCACAGCCCAGACCAGCCCAGCCCAGCACCAACACCAGCACAGCACAGACCAGCACAGCACAGACCAGCACAGCACAGACCAGCACAGCACAGACCAGCACAGCACAGACCAGCCCAGCCCAGCACAGCACAGACCAGCACAGCACAGCCCAGCACAGCACAGACCAGCACAACACAGCACAGCACAGACCAGCACAACACAGCACAGACCAGCACAGCCCAACACAGCACAGCCCAGCACAGCCCAACACAGCACAGCCCAGCACAGCCCAACACAGCACAGCCCAACACAGCACAGACCAGCACAGCCCAGCACCAACACCAGCACAGCACAGACCAGCACAACACCAGCACAGCACAGACCAGCACAACACCAACACAGCACAGACCAGCACAACACCAACACCAGCACAGCCCAACACAGACCGGCACAGCCCAACACCAGCACAGCACAGACCAGCACAGCCCAACACAACACAGACCAGCACAGCCCAACACAGCACAGACCAGCACAGCCCAACACAACACAGCACAGACCAGCACAGCCCAACACAGCACAGACCAGCACAGCCCAACACAGCACAGCCCAACACAGCACAGACCAGCACAGCCCAACACAGCACAGACCAGCACAGCCCAGCACCAACACCAGACAGCACAGACCAGCACAGCCCAACACAGCACAGCACAGACCAGCACAGCCCAACACAGACCAGCACAGCCCAGCACCAGCACAGACCAGCACAACACCAACACAGCACAGACGAGCCCAACACCAGCACAGACCAGCACAGCCCAACACAGCACAGCCCAGCACCAACACAGCCCAACACCAACACAGACCAGCACAACACAGACCAGCACAACACCAACACAGCACAGCCCAACACCAGCACAGCCAACGCAACACCAGCACAGCCAACGCAACACCAGCACAACACCAACACAACACAGCACAGACCAGCACAACACAACACAGCACAGACCAGCACAGCCCAACACAGCACAGACCAGCACAGCCCAACACAGCACAGACCAGCACAGCCCAACACAGCACAGACCAGCACAGCCCAACACAGCACAGACCAGCACAACACCAACACCAGCACAGACCAGCACAGCACAGACCAGCACAGCCCAACACCAGCACAGCACAGACCAGCACAGCCCAACACAGCACAGACCAGCACAGCCCAACACAGCACAGACCAGCACAGCCCAACACAGCACAGCACAGACCAGCACAGCCCAACACCAGCACAGCACCAGCACAGCCCAACACCAGCACCAGCACCAGCACAGCCCAACACCAGCACCAGCACAGACCAGCACAGCCCAACACCAGCACAGACCAGCACAACACCAACACAACACAGACCAGCACAAAACCAGCACAGCACAACACCTACACCAGCACAGCACAGACCAGCACAGCACCAGCACAGCCCAACACAACACCAGCACAACACCAACACAACAGACCAGCACAACACCAACACAACACAACACCAGCACAACACCAACACCAGCACAACACCAACACCAGCACAGCCCAACACCAGACCAGCACAACACCAACACAACACCAGCACAACACCAACACCAGCACAGCCCAACACCAACCAGCACAGCCCAACACCAGCACCAGCTCAACACCAGCCCAACACCAACACAACACCAACACCAGCACAGCCCAACACCAACACCAGCCCAACACCAGCACAACACCAACACCAGCCCAACACCAGCTCAGCCCAACACCAGCCCAACACCAGCACAACACCAGCACAACACCAACACCAGCTCAACACCAACACCAACCCAACACCAACACCAGCTCAACCCAACACCAACACCAGCACAACACCAGCTCAGCCCAACACCAGCACAACACCAACACCAGCTCAGCCCAGCACCAGCACAACACCAACACCAGCTCAACCCAACACCAGCTCAGCCCAACACCAGCTCAGCCCAACACCAACACCAGCACAACACCAACTCAACCCAACACCAACACCAGCACAACACCAACACCAGCTCAGCCCAACACCAGCACAACACCAACACCAGCTCAGCCCAACACCAGCACAACACCAACACCAGCTCAGCCCAACACCAACACCAGCTCAGCCCAACACCAACACCAGCACAACACCAACTCAACCCAACACCAACACCAGCACAACACCAACACCAGCTCAGCCCAACACCAGCACAACACCAACACCAGCTCAACACCAACCCAACACCAACACCAGCTCAACCCAACACCAACACCAGCACAACACCAGCTCAGCCCAACACCAGCAGAACACCAACACCAGCTCAGCCCAGCACCAGCACAACACCAACACCAGCTCAACCCAACACCAGCTCAGCCCAACACCAGCTCAGCCCAACACCAACACCAGCACAACACCAACTCAACCCAACACCAACACCAGCACAACACCAACACCAGCTCAGCCCAACACCAGCACAACACCAACACCAGCTCAGCCCAACACCAACACCAGCTCAGCCCAACACCAACACCAGCTCAGCCCAACACCAACACCAGCTCAGCCCAACACCAGCTCAGCCCAACACCAGCTCAGCCCAACACCAGCTCAGCCCGACACCAACACCAATCAGCTCAGCCCAACACCAACCGGCTCAGGCCAACCCCAACACCAACCAGCTCAGCTCAACACCAACACCAGCTCAGCCCAACACCAACACCAGCCAGCTCAGCCCAACACCAACCGGCTCAGCCCAACACCAACCAGCTCAGCTCAACACCAACACCAGCTCAGCCCAACACCAACACCAACCAGCTCAGCCCAACACCAACCAGCTCAACCCAACACCAACACCAACCAGCTCAGCCCCAACCAGCTCAGCCCAACACCAACCAGCCCAACACCAACCAGCTCAGCCCAACACCAACCAGCTCAGCCCAACACCAACCAGCCCAGCCCCAACCAGCTCAGCCCAACACCAACCAGCCCAACACCAACTAGCTTAGCCCAACACCAACCAGCTCAGTCCAACACCAACCAGCTCAGCCCAACACC